CGAGTAGACATTGTCTAGAGGGGCGGGGTAAAAATCGAATGAATGAATGAATGAATGAATGAATAAATAAATAAATAAATTCAAGAGAAAATCAGACAGCCACCTGTCAGATCTGCTTTGATAAAGATTCTTGCACTGAGCAGGGGGTTGGACTTTATAGGCTTATAAGTCTCTCTTCCAACTCAATTATTCTATGATTTTATGATGATTGTATGTTTACTGCAGGAGATCGGCAGTGAAGGGGCTGACGGGATTTTTTTGCTTGAGGTATCAGCACCATTGGCTGGCTTTCAGGACTTTGCTTAGGTGGCTGTGGGCCACTGTTTGTCTGCCTCCCGCAGTAAAACCTTTTGGCAGGCCCAACCCTCAACAACACATACTGTTAGGAATAACATCCACAGCCCTTAATGGAATACGGACACTCATCTGTCAAATGTCAGGCTCTAATCAGTCCATCTCAGCACTAGTCCCATCCTCAGCCATTAGGCAAGTAGCTTATAATGCCATCATCTGCCTCTCAAAGAAAGCCTGGCCTGAAACCAGATCCAAATGGTCTATAGTTCTTCCTGGAAAAGGAGGCAAGCTAAGAAGAAGGATTAAAAATTAAAAACATATCAACAGATCTATATTGTGACTGTACTGCAAATGTCATTTCCTACCACCAATCTGTGCTTTCCACCTCTTAATTAAACAAAACAAAACAAAGCCCTTAACCCCCTTTAACCTGTCACAGACCACCAGAATCAAGGAGTCTTGCTCCAACCTGTTGCTGGAGTGGGTGAGGCCACAAGAATTCAATGTGATGATGATGGCTGCGGGAATCTACCTGTCCTGGTCACCTCCCAACCCTCTAATCTGACCTAACTCAGCAGTGCTTCCAGGGAGTCACAAAAAGCCCATAAGGTTAAGCTCTCACACCAGCCTTGCAAGGTAGAATTTCCGCCACGCCCACAAAACGTGCAGGTTTCTCAAGAGATGAACAAGGCGAGGCCTGGTTTTAAGTAACCCTCTTTAGCCAAAAAGTCAGACAATGGAATGGAGAAATATATATATATTTTACTAAAGATAGTGAAAAAAGAAAAAAAGATCTTGAAAGATTTAAAAAAAAAGCTTCAAAAGTATTCTGGAGCAAATTATCAATAAGAATCTATAGCAGGAGCAATACAGAGTGAGCACATAAGAAAATAAGAAAGCTAACTAGACTACCTATGACTTACACACTAACGTAGCATCAGCATGGTCTCAGAGCATGCTCAGAGTACAGCCCTCACAGCCTCGCAAGTTAGAAGAGCGTCTTCTAAGAGATAACAGTGGATCGCCCATCTACGTCCCTACCTTGACACCAGGTCCCTCACCACACTGCTCCATGCACTAGTAGTCTCGAGATTAGACTACTGTAATGCCCTCTACGTGGGGCTGCCCTTGGGACTGCTACGGAGACTGCTACGAGTCCAGAGTGCGGTGGCCAGACTTCTGAATGGGGTTAGAAAATACCAACCTATCTCCCCACCCTGGCCGCCTTACACCGGCTACCAGTTCGCTTCCGTACCAGTTTCAAGGTGATGGTACTAACCTATAAGGCATTAAAAGGTTTGGGACCTCGATATCTGGCCGAGTGCCTCCTTCCAGTTAGGTCTGCCCGGCCTGTAAGATCGTCGCAGGCAGAGCGGCTGACAGTTCTGACCCCGAGAGGGGCCCGGAAAACAACCACTAGAAATTGGGCAAGGCCTGGAAAACAACCATTAGAAATTGGGCCTTCTCGGTGGTAGCCCCACAACTATGGAACACTCTTCTGCACGAAGTCTGCCTGGCCCCTCGCTGGGCACGTTCAAAAAACTACTAAAAACCAGGCTATTTAGACAGGCCTTCCCCGAGCAAACTATACTCTGGTACAATAGTGCCCGATAATATAACTTCTATCAGACCCATGCGCCATGTTTTTATATTTTTCTATGCTTTTAATTGTATTATAATTTTATCCTCACTTCACTTTATGACTTTTTTTTATTTTCACCCCTATGTATTAATGTTGTTATCTGCTCTTTTGTTACTCTGTTGCTTTTTTGTTATTTGCTGTAAACCGCCCAGAGTGTCCTTGGCCACCAGATGGGCAGTACAAAAATAAAATAAAATGAAATAAAATAAAATAAATAAATAAGCAAGCCAACTAATGTAACTTGCGAACTTCTTTTTATTCATCATTTTTAATCGTAACTTGTGAACTTCTTTTTATTCATCATTTTTAATCAGGCTTCAAATACCATTGAAGACAAATAGTTTCTGCTCCCCCTCCCGAAGCCATTCCCCAATTAACACAAAACCAGGGAACAAGCCAACACGGCTTTGAAGTTTCAGCCCCGCATTCCGTTGTGGGCAGAAACTATCTCCCTTTTCTCTCTCCGCCAGCCATTCCCATGCAGCAAGAAAAGCCTGTTGTTTTTTTTTCCAGATGTCTCATTCTTTTCAATAACCTCTTTCTGCAATTTTCATTCAGATCATCATCAGCTGTGACATGCAAAGGCCGTGGCCAGGTTCGCACATTCCACAAAGCCATGGCTTTACATTCACCAAAGCTTGTGGCGTTTGCCAGAAATGGTCCTAGTGGACAGTCCCAATAAACTCAGTTTTGTTCACCTGATTCTCTTCTAGGGAAAGGCAGCTGAGAGAACAATCCAAGGACCAGCTACAAAGGCTAGCTCAGATGCCAGAATCATCCATGGTCTTAACTGTGCCAGTGCTAGGAAGCCAGCAACAAAGCACTGCTTCCAATGATGGTTTGTTAGTGGCTAGCTAACAAACCTCAGATTGTTGGGTGAGAACAGGTTCCCATGCAAAAAGAAGCCAGAATAAAATGAAGTGCAACTTGGTTTACTGTTCCATGAGAACCTGGCTGATATCTACCCAACACTCTTCCATTCTCAGATCCACAATTATTTTGATTAGATCTTGGGAAAAGGGCGCTTTTTAAAAGCTAGAGATCCAAGAGAAGCGACAGCTTACGTGACCATTAGCCATGCTGGCTGCAGAACTTCTGGGAGTTATCACCCCAAAAAACTAACTTTTCCAAGCTCTTATCTAAATAAGGAACTCTAGCCCCCCCCCAGCAGTGAAATTTATTTAGTCCATACAGGTTTGTATTTTCTGCTCTTGTTATTGCTTCTGAACAGCCTAAGCTGTTTCTCCTCTGTGAAGTCATTTATTAGGGAAGCAATCAAGACAATTCCAAAAACATCACCACTGCCTCTTAAAACATACCTTTACCCGTGAAGAACTGTTGTTTTCTTTGTCCTGGGAATGAGAGCCTCTCCCGATTCAGTATTTGTTCTCTATAATATTCCTGATTCATCATTGATGATAACAGCATTTTCCCCCCTTCCAAACACAGCAAATATACCTTGTCTCAGTACAGTGACATAATCCTGGACATTCTGTGTTTTGGGGATGGCTTTTTTTTAAAAAAAAATCCTAGGAGGCTCAGGAGCTTGCTAGATAACTCAGTGGTTTCGGTAAATGGCTGCAGACCCAGAAGTTAGGAGTTCACTTTCCCAAAGCTGTCCCCAGAAAAGGGGAATGGAAATCCACTTCTTAGTACTCTTTACCAAGGAAACACTGAAAAAGGCCACCATAAGTCAGAATTGACTTGACAACACATGATGATGATGATGATGATGATGATGATGATGATGATGATGATGATGATGATGATGATGATGATGATTGGAAGGCTGAGGAGTCCTTCTTCATTAAAGAAAGAAGGTGAGGGATGGGCTAATGTGCCATCTGGAAGATCCCTAAACAGAATATCACACTTCTAACCTTGTGGCTTGACAGAAAATCTTAGTCAAGTGGCTGAAATCTTGTGAGAAACTGCAATTACAGCAGGCCTATGGAATCAGCTTCATTGACTACGCAAAAGTCTTTGACTGTGTGGACCACAGCAAACTATGGCAAGTTCTTAAAGAAATGGGAGTGCCTGACCACTTTATCTGTCTCCTGAGAAACCTATATGTGGGACAGGAAGCAACAGTTAGAACTGGATATGGAACAACTGATTGGTTCAAAATTGGGAAAGGAGTATGACAAGGCTGTATATTGTCCCCCAGCTTATTTAATTTATATGCAGAATACATCATGCGGAAGGCTGGACTGGAGGAATCCCAAACCGGAATTAAGATTGCTGGAAGAAATATCAACAACCTCAGACATGCAGATAATGCCACTCTGATGGCAGAAGGTGAGGAGGAATTAAAGAACCTTTTAATGAGGGTGAAAGAGGAGAGCACAAAAAATGGTCTGAAGCTCAACATCAAAATAACTAAGACCATGGCCACCGGTCCCATCACCTCCTGGCAAAGAGAAGAGGAAGATATGGAAGCAGTGACAGATTTTACTTTCTTGGGCTCAATAATCACTGCAGATGGTGACAGCAGCCATCTTGGAAGGAAAGCGATGACAAACCTTGACAGCATCTTAAAGTTTTAGTTCCCTCCCTCATACTACAGTGTATTGAATTGTACTGCATTGTGTTGTTTTTATTTGATGTACTTTGCAACGGCCTGTGTGCTACGCAATAAACTTATATGTGTGTGTGTGTGTGTGTGACAGCATCTTAAAAAGCAGAGACGTCACCTTAACGACAAAGGTCCGCATAGTCAAAGCTATGGTTTTTCCTGTAGTGATGTACGGAAGTGAGAGCTGGAATATAAAGAAGGCTGACCACCAAAGAATTGATGCCTTTGAATTGTGGTGCTGGAGGAGAGTTTTGAGAATCCCCTGGATTGTAAGGAGAACAAACCTATCCATTCTGAAGGAAATGAACCCTGAGTGCTCACTGGAAGGACAGATCCTGAAGCTGAGGCTCCAATCCTTTGGCCATCTCATGAGAAGAGAAGACTCCCTGGAAAAGACCCTGATGTTGGGAAAGTGTGAAGGCAAGAGGAGAAGGGGATGACAGAGGATGAAATGGATGGACAGTGTCATCGAAGCGACCAACATGAATTTGACCCGACTCCGGGAGGCAGTGGAAGACAGGAGGGCCTGGTGTGTGCTCTGGTCCATGGGGTCATGAACAATCGGACACGACTAAACAACAAAAAATTGAATCAGCAGGGATTTGGTGGGCCAACCTCTTTCTGAGTTCAACTAATTCAATGGGCCTTCTTTAATTGTGACTAGTTACTAGATTTCAGCCCATGACGGCTATATTTCAAACCAAATTTCTCCCAACCAGAATTGGTATAATTTGGATCCTCTTTACTCCTCTTGTTTCTAGACCAATATAATGTGGTCCAACCTACAGATTTAACGCCTGCCACATGAAGTTATTCACGGGGTTCTCAGGCCAGGGGGTTGATTTGGCCAATCCACTAAAGCCACGAGCAGCCGCTGAGTGAGTTCCCTTTCCTGTCTGTCATTTGTCATCAAGCAACCCCCAACAGATCTCCAGAGAGACTCCATATACATGTTTCATCTTGGTGAAAACAGAGGAAGCTCCTTCTCCTGCGTCATGCCTTCACTGATGGATGACCTTGAGAGTTTCACCATCGAGTTTATCCTCTAGCTAGAAAGTCTGGCAAACAAAAGCCCCAATATATAACTCCCTCGCTTTAAACTTTATGTTTTCATAGCCGACTCACGTCTCTCTTTGTCCGTTCCAAAGACAAAGATAGCTCTCTCTTGTCAATGACAGACAAGGTGCGAAGCACTTCGTCTTTCATCGGAATCCGTACCTGACTCATCTGTTAAGTGGGCCACTGAAGATCCATTAACGTCTCTTATGACAAAACCAGAGGCTCTGCTCAGGTAATGCATTTAAGTAAGAACAAGTAATCAAACAGCAAACGTGCAACAATAGGAAGAAAGTACAGTGGTGCCTCGCTTTACAATTGCTCTGTTTAACGACGAAACCGCATTACGACGACCATTTTGTGATTGCTTTTGCAATCGCTTTACAATGTTTCCTATAGGGGAATTTCACTTTGCGATGATTGGTTCCCTGCTTCGGGAACTGATTCTTCGCAAAATGATGATTTTCTAACAGCTGATCGGCGGTTTCAAAATGGCCGCTGGGTAAACAAAATGGCCCCCCACTGTTTTCTGGGACGGATTCCTCGCTGCACAGGCAGCGAAAATGGCCGCTCTATGGAGGATCTTCACTGGACGGTGAGTTTCCAGCCCATCAGAACGCATTGAACGCGTTTTAATGTGTTTCTATGGGATTTTTAATTTCGCTTTACGACGTTTTCGTTCTACAGCGATTTTGCTGGAACGAATTAACGTCGTAATGCGAAGCACCACTGTATGCATGCACACATTATACGCACATTATAGATTCCAAGCCGTGCATACATTATACGCACATTATAGATTCCAAGCCAGGATTGTTCTGATTTCCGGTGAATGAAAGAAAGATAACTGCTTGTTTAGGATTAGTTACTGCCCAAGATCCATCTGCCTCTTCACAAAAAGAGAAAAAAGAGGGAGGGGGAAGAAGGGTTTTGTATCTTGTTAATAGCTCTCTGAGTTAGGTATGTGGCTGCAGACCCAGAGGTTAGAAGATGGGATTCCTCACTGTGCCTCTGAGGAGTGGAACCAGCTTGCCTAACTGTGGGCGAACCGCACAATCCAAGGCTGCAAACAAAATATGGGAACCGTAAAACACTCCTGAGCATTCTCTAACCAGAAAACGCTGGAAAGGGTCGCTATAAGTTGGAAACTCCTTGACAAGAGCTCACACTCCATCATATTTGGGGACCTCTCCAGATAACACTGAAGAAAACGTGCACAATATGGCTCTTTGTAGAATAAGCACTAAACTTACATTACCTTACTGATTGTATGTCTGGACTCCCGGAACTCCACAGCCTTAGGAAGTTTCTTTTATTTTTCCTGCTGCAAAACAAAAGATGATGTCAAAAAAACATAGATAAAGAGTTAGCATAGGCTAAAAATGACACAGGCACTCACACGGGTGGGTGTAGAAAGTGCAGACAGAAAAAAAGAATAAGGACTTCTTTCACTCCTCACCCATCATCCTCTCTAACATCAGGGGTGGGGGAGCACCTGGCCCTCCAGATGTTGCTGAGTGATCAACCCCATTAGCCCCCACCGGCGGAAAGTGTGCTGCTTAAGGCAAGAAGGGAACTGCCACCCAAGAACATCTGGATGGCTGTACTCTGATTTAGGAGCGCAAAGGCCAGGATTCAGATGTTAATGGAGGAAAAGATATGCCTTCAAATCGTGCACTTTGATTTTGCCACTGTTCATATTCACATCAGCCTTCCCTGAACAAGGCATCCTCCAGATGAGCAGAACTATGACCCCATCATCCTAAACCTGGTGCTGGGTGGAGGATAATGGAGGTTGTAATCCAATGTAATTGGAAGCCAACGTTTGGGGGTAAATCTAAAGAACACTTCTATGTATTACTACCTTGTTTTCCCGAAAATAAGCCTTAGTATGATTTTTCAGGATGCTAGTAATATAAGCCCTACCCCCAAAATAAGCCCCAGTTAAGTGAAACCCCACCCTCCACCCTTGTGCAGCAACCAGAAGACAATGACATGAGTGTATTTGAATAAATGTACAGTAGATTGTTGTACATGAAAAAAAATATCCTCTGGAAATAAGCCATAATGCATTTTTGAGAGCAAAAATTAATATAAGACCCTGTCTTATTTTCGGAAAAAAATTAATATAAGCAAAAATTAATATAAGCAAAATTAATATATTAATTAATATAAAAATTAATATAAGCAAAATTAATATAAGCAAAAATTAATATAAGACCCTGTCTTATTTTCAGGGAAACACGGTAACTGACTTCTCAAAGCAGATCAAGATTATTATCTTCCCTATGCGGTGGTGTCTCGTTTAATGATGTTAATTGTTTCCAAAAAATTCATTGCTATGGGAAAACATCACTAAGCAAAACATGGTTTCCGATAGAAATGCATTGAAAACCGGATAATCCGTTCCAATGGGAACGGATTGCCGTCCTTAAGCGAAAATTGCCATAGGAAACATCGCTAAGCGAAACGCGGTTCCCCAATTGAAATGCATTGAAACCTATTCAATGCATCTCAATGGGGAAAAAATTGCAACAAATTTAAAAAGAGTCGGAACAAAGTCAAATTAGTTTAACAAAGTGTTTATTAAGTGCACTTATGATTTCAAGCATTCTAAACATTTTTAAACATTTTTAAATGTATAAAAAACAGCCAACATGAGGCTGTCAAAACCATCGTTAAGCGAAACAGGGGGCCGCAGAAATGGACATAGTATCAGATTGGATAGATGCAGAGAAAAAAAGATCATCAGAAAATTTGGTCACAATTATATACATGGTTACAAGGTAGATAGAAAAGTTGACTGATACATAGTTATCTGTATGGCTGCAGAAGAGACAGAATAAATTATGGATAAAGACTATCAACTACATAATCGATAATTAGAATAACAATATATCTGAATTTGATCTTTCCCTCTCGCTCAATGTTTATATTTCTTTCTGATATGTGGAACTATTACTAGAAGAGAATGCACAAAATTACGATGAAAAATATTGATCTGTAATGTATCCGTTCATATCCACCCCCTCTGAGGGTACCCCTATCCCAGCTGCCCCTTACCTTGCCCTACCTTTATAAGGAAAATAAAAAATATATTTAAAAAAAAGAACTTTGGCAGGAAAGAGTACATAATGCACATATTTCCAGGGTACAGTCTGAAGACATGAACATCACTGGACTGAAGCACGTGACTCAAAGTTACATGATGCAGCAATCCTGCTACTGCTAAGCAGGTCTGAATTTGGTGGATAACTGGATGGGAGACTCCATGGGAATCCTTTGTAGATTGTTTTGGATTCTATCAGAGAAGAAAAGTACAGCCTATATTTCATAACAAAATCACCTTGAAGTGGGTTTATTTCCCATGCCAGATACTACTAGTGCTTTCAAAATACTTTGAAAATAGTGAAAGAACTGAGTAATTTTATGTAATTCCTAATTCAGCTAAGAGAAAAAACTGAAATTGGCCCTATATTAAAAAGAAGATAATCTCTCCAATTTAAAATTAGGCAAGTTGTATTGATAAAACCTTATACTTACCATCTTGTTTGGGTTCCTGTCTCTTTTACTTCAGGAACTACCTGTGTGCCATTTCTATTTTGGCAGGCCTTCCAAACTATATCATCTCAACAGCCTGCTGAGATGTATATTTAATACAGTATCTACCTGATTAACTGCTGCCTGGTTTTAACTTCATTTTAACTGCAAATGTAAGTTTTGTTTTTATGTTTGTTGATATAGATTATTTGTTATGGAGTTATATTCTGCTGTACACCACTCAGAGTTTCTATTTTGGCAGGCCTTCCAAACTATATCATCTCAACAGCCTGCTGAGATGTATATTTAATACAGTATCTACCTGATTAACTGCTGCCTGGTTTTAACTTCATTTTAACTGCAAATGTAAGTTTTGTTTTTATGTTTGTTGATATAGATTATTTGTTATGGAGTTATATTCTGCTGTACACCACTCAGAGTGGCCATTGGTTGGATAGTAGTTCTGTAACCCAAACTTTCTCCACTGTGACAGGCAACGTTGTTATTTAGGACTACAGTTCTCATTAGACCCAGCCAGCACAAAGTGATGGGGATGACGGGAGTTGCAGTCCCACAAACATCTGAATGGCTAGGCTTTGCCCACCATTTGCTTCTAACAAATAAATAAATGCTGTTGTTACTACTGCTGAAACATTCATAATCACATATAGTGGGCACTAGCTGGTGGGTTGCTCCCTTTCTATGGAATGAGCTTCCGCCAGAAATTCACCTGGCCTCCCTCTCTGGAAACATTTAAGAAATGGTTGAAAATGTTTTCTATTTTGGCAGGCCTTCCAACTTATATTTTGGCAGGCCTTCCAAACTACAGTATATTACCTCAACAGCCTGCTGAGATATATATTTAACATCTACCTGATTAGCTGCTGCCTGGTTTTAATTTAATCTTAACTGCAAACGTAAATTTTGTTTTTGTTTGTTGAGATAGATTATTTGTTATGCAGTTATATTCTGCTGTACACCACTCAGAGTGGCCATTGGTCAGTTGGGTGGTATAGAATAGAAATGAATGAATGAATGAATGAATGAATGAATGAATGAGATGCCATGCTTGTGAAATATCACATATTTTACTAGATCCCCCCACCAGGTCTACTAACGAAGTGGGATTAGCTTACTAGATTCCCCCCCGCCCAACCAGGTCTACTAACGAAGTGGGATTAGAATAATGGCTCAAGGATAAGAGTAGAAAATAATTTCAGTATTGTCATGGTATTTGCAAAAATATCAATTCACACTTCCCAAGGCTTCTTTTAAAAATTCATTCATTCATTCATTCATTCATTCATTCATTCATATTCTGCCTTTCTCCCAGGGAAGGGACCCAAGGCAGCATACAACAGCTTAAAAATACATGTTTAAAAGAGCAATAAACTATGATATTAATATCAAATTATGGTTAAACCTAAATGAAAGCATTATTAAAGTTAAAATTCATTATAAAAATATGCTGCTTCCCTTAAAAACTACTAGCCTACAAGTGCACTCTGAGATCTAAAGCTAGCTTTAAAAGGAAGGTTTTCACCTGCCGGTGAAAAGACAGTAAGGAGGGGGGGGGCAACCTAGCTTCAATGAAGCAGAGAATTTCATAGTCTTAAGAGCAGCCTCTCAAGTTTCTACCAAACATGCCTGCGGTTGTGGAGTGACCAAGAGGAGGCCTTCCCTCAAAGATCTCAGAGATCCAAGGCAGGCAGATGTTGTTGGAGAAAAAGAGCAACCTCGCATGCTTACCAGAGGAGCCTTGTGGGTGCAGTGGTTAAACTGCATTACTGCAATCAAGACTCTGCTTACAACTTGAGTTTGATCCGATGGGCTTGGGGAGCTGACTGCAGATTGACTCAACCTTCCATCCTTCCCAGGTCGATAAATTGAGTACCCAGCCAGCTGGAGTGGGGGCAATATGTATCCTGCATAATACCCTGTTTCCCCGAAAATAAGCCCTAACCTGAAAATAAGCCCTAGTATGATTTTTCAGGATGCTTGAAATATAAGCCCTACCCCCAAAATAAGCCCTAGTTAAGTGAAACCTTGCCCTCCACCCTTGTGCTGCAACAAGAAAAAGATGACATGACTGTATTTGCATAAATGTACAGTAGATTGTTGTACATGAAAAAAAATATCTCTGAAAATAAGGTGTAATGCATTTTTTGGAGCAGAAATTAATATAACACCGTGTCTTATTTTTGGGGAAATACGGTAATTAAATTGTAAACCACCCACAGAGTGCTACAAGGACTATCGGTTGGCATGCAAGCAGCATACTGTGCTTTGTTTTGCTGTACTATAATTTACTAGCACTGGCTTTTGGTGGAAAAGATTTTTAGGACCCAGGGGGACTTTAATGGGCTAAGGTGACTGCTTACTTTTCTCATTAACCTATTAGCAAAGTCTGTTTTTCCCAGGCTTGAGACAAGCCATGCCTCTCTTCTGCGTGTCTCTGCTTCTATTGTTTGTCTGATTTCTCTTCTTCCTTCCTGAACTTGTAGCAGAGCAGACGTGGAATTACACTGCCATTTCCTTCTCCTATATGCCTGCAGCCATGGCAAAATGAGCCTTCCACATGGTTGAGGCTGCAGTTCCTTCTTTTATTCTCTCTATTCATCCAGCAGGGGGTTGGGCTTGATCACCTTATAGGCCCGTTCCAACTTCACTGTCCTATCATTCTATTCTTCCGATTGTAATTCAAGATCAATTGTAAGTAAAGATACTGTCTTTTCTACCTTAAGAATTTGTAGAAGTAATTTCTTATATACAAGGGGGCTGGGTGAAGCTGGATTTTAGCTATTCTCCCTTCACCTCTTCCTTGTGCTTCAGGCTGGATTTTTCGTACTTCATACTCTGCTGTCTAAGGGAATCAACCAAATTCCAAGATTCCACCGCAGTTATATGTGGAGATACTCCTTCAATTAACCTGGGCTCAAACTGTGTAAGGCTTTACAGGTAATAACTGCCACTTTGAACTGCGCCTGGAAATGCACTGGCAGCAAGTGAAGTTGTAACAGAGGGATATGCTCCCTGTAACTGGCCACAGTCAGCAGCCCGGCTGTAGCATTTTGAACCAGCTAAAGCTTCCATACGCTCCTTAAAATCAGCCTCACACATAATGTGTTATAGCAATCTGTATGAGATGGAACTAAAGCTTTTGTCTCACTGCAGCCAAATCAGATACAGCTGGTACCCAAGTTTTAACCGTGCTAATGCATTCACACTACCATTGAAACCTGGGCATCCAGACCCTGAGGTGAATCCAGGAGCAAAACCAAGAAGCAGGCCTGCATTTTCAGGAGGAGCGTAACCCGACTGAACACAGGCAGTATGCTCATTCCTGAGACAGGCCAGGAGCAACTCTGTCTTGCCAGGATTAAGCTCCGGTCTCACCAACTACGGTGCCCTGCCCTTCAGGCGTTTGCAGAACCAGTCTTATGTCCACATTAGGCTTTATGATGGCGGTCTGGTGGGGCCAGCCAACCGTCAAGCTCCCACCAGTGGGCTCCTCCCGCTATGGAAAGCCAAGAGCTGGTCATCAGAGGTTTTGGTTGCTGCCGCCTCCAATTCTATCTCATGAAGAACCTCGTGGCGCAGTGGTTAAACCGCTGTACTGCAGCCAAAACTGTGCTCATGGGTTCAATCCCAGGTAGCTGACTCAAGGTTGACTCAGCTTTCCATCCTTCCGAGGTTAGTAAAATGAGTCCCCAGCTCGCTGGGGGGGGGGGGGGGGGGGGGGCCGACAAATTAACTTGTAAACCGCTTGAAGCACTATGGGGCGGTATATAAGCAGCACGCTTTGCTTTTATCTGTTCCTTTGGGAAAGGAAACCTGAGAGTGCCAGCTGGGGCATTGAGGTGTCCTCCTTTCCTTCAGAGAGCGGGCAGAATGTGCCTCCTCTATGGGCAGGTGGGAGGAAAGTCACTGCCTGTGCCATGGGCTTTGCCTTGCTGGCAGCTGGCACCACCATAGTCTCCAGGTGATGAGCACCCCTGTCAGGTCTTCTTTCTCTGGGCAAGTAGGAAGAAGAGCCAGGCATCCTTTGAGCTCTGTCTCCTTCACAGAGATGCTGCCACCTTCTCCTCTAGCCAGCGTTGAAGTGCCATTGCTACCACAGTGGATGGGTGGGAAGGGGGTTACCACCTTTTCCTTTCTGTCTCAGGCAGAAGGAAGCCTTCAGACTCCCCATCTTTGTTATTCTAGACAAGGTCTGAATCTGTGGCCTCCAGGTGCTGCTGGACTACAACTCCCATCAGCCCTAACCATTGGCTATTCCACTCCTGTTACAGCCCCCTCCGGCAGCTATTGACTCAACTAGACAGGCTTTATTCACAGCCCGCCATTGCCACTCAATACCTTTTGCCGTTTGAAGCAAAGGAAAAGACAAGATGGCATCTTTTGTTTACATCCCGAAACTTAACCCCGGCAAGGGCCCAGGGCCCTCCGCTGCATCCGAAGGAGGCAAGCTGGCCTGGAGGGGTGCAGGGTTAGGGTGTGTGACACACACAGCTGTTACCCTCCTGCAAAGGGATCAGTCCTCAAGTTGCTAACACTGCCCCTCCCTGACCAAAAAAAAATTAAAAAGTCTCTCAGCATCTGTTGCCCCGGGGTAGCTGCCTCTCTCTTCCTCACGGGGCAGGGTTCCCCCTGGTCTACTTCCCCTCAAAGAGAAGCCAGGAATCCTTCTGATATCCAGTCCAACTAGAGCCCTTCCCTCAGGGATCAGCATCCTCTTTCTATAAGGAACAAAGTGGCACAATTTCTCTGGGCCAAGGTCTATATGAACCCCATGAAACATGGAGGGCTGTGCTGGCCAGGAACCCACTCACGATTGCCTCTAGGCATCTCTCCATCCCAGATGACCGCAAGGGGCATTGGGAAGCAACAGAGCCAGGGGACTCATCTGCTCTTTAGAGCAACCATGCTCTGGACCTCAACTTCCTTCTGTGCCTATTATTAAACTCGTCTCCTCAGGATCTGTCCCTCACTCTCATTTCCATTCTTTTTCCCTACGCTCTGAGGAGGAAACATGGTGTGGCCTCTCTCTCTCTCTCATGTGCCCTCAAGGGCAGCCCTTCTCAACCTCCTCCTCCTCCTCCTCCTCCTCTTCCTCTTCTTCTTCTTCCTCTTCGGCCACGGCCATAAACACATTATGAAGGACAAGTAGGCCAAATCAGGATTGTATAAGTCACGAAGGTGGTGTGCAAATAACTGTTTTCAGCCTGTGGCCCCTTTCAAATGTGTCAGCCTCTCAGGGTGGGGGGCTGGCTGTCATATGGCCCCTGTTGAGAATGGTTGGTCTAGGGCAGTGGTTCTCAAAACTGGGGGGGGGGCAGAGGTCCTTGGAGTACAACTCCCAGAAATTCTGGCCAGCACAGCAAGTGATGAAGGCTTCTGGGAGTTGTAGTCCAAGAACCTCTGGGGACCCCAGTTTGAGAACCACTGGTCTAGGGCACATGTTTAAGAGTGTTTAGAGTTTAGAGTTTAAGCTTCTCTATTTCATATGTAACTTTCTAAATAAAAACAGTTACTGTATTTTAACTGCACAGTTCTTACTCTGCTATTGAGTGAAGCCTTAATTAGAGTTTTCTCTCACCATGTGAATATTTACAACAGGCTGTACCACATCGCCAAAGTTATGAAAGCATGGCAAAGAAAAATGGGGAAAAAAGAAAAAAGAAAGAAAAGAAAAGCATTTCCCTTATTTTAAAAAGGACATGCTCCCATGCTCTTTTGTCTGTAAACAGTTTAATGCCTAGAGAAGCTTCTAGAAGCCCAAATATGCATGTAAACAAGGCAGAGAGGATATGGGTTGGATCGTGTTTCAAAGGAGAGGGAAAAAAGAGCCCTTAAAGATTAAAATGTGGGGGTTTTTTTGGTCTATCCATGGCTGGATGGTAGGGGACCCTTCAGAGGCTGGGAGGAGCCCCCAAAATGGAGAACCAATGTGAGGACTACATGCGGTCCGTCTCCGTCCTATAATCTGAGCCAAAGTCATAGGGAAATGTGGTCTGAATAAACAAAACAGCTCAACAGGCAAGCAAACCAGCCTCCCGGATCTTCCGAGGCTGGATTACGCTCTGCTTCTAACTCCAGAGCACCCTTGAGTCCTGTGTCCCAGGCCCTCTGCCATAACCCCTCCTTGACAATTAATTATCAGCTTTCTATTTAGCCTTGGGATAAATTTTTCATTGCAGGAAATTCCAGAGATTAAAACCATTGGGAACAAAGACACTAAAATATTTATACAAGCAAGCTGAAGAGGGGAAAAACACACCCACACAATTTGGGCTCGTGTTCCTCGTGACAGGGGAAGAGAAAAACATGAAGAAAGAGGACCAGTAACAACACACACCCCCACCCCAATATGCCATTAGGGTAGGAGAAAATGGCGCATCCACTGACTTTACTCGATCCTCCAAAAAGATTCTTCAAGTGCTGTTTTGCGGCGGCAACTTTTTCACTCAGGTATCGCTCTTTCCTCAAAGATTTTGGGGACGGCAAGCTCCATCCGCTTCCGGTTTTGTCCCCCTCTGTTTCCACTGTCCTGGATGCCGAGTTTTGGTCCAAACGCCCCTCACTGCGGGATCGCCAGACCCCTCCGGGGTCTTGTAAAGGAAGCTGGAGGCCGGTGGTCGCATCCGGCGCCTCTAAGCGGATGCTGGGGGGAGATGGCTTCTCTGGGCTCAGCTCTTCGTGGTCACCCACCGGCTCTGAGACCTCACAACTTTCGGGTCGCCGACAGAGGGTGCTTCGGTGCCAGGGCAAAAAGTCGCACTCCACAAGGCAGCCTTCCGAGCCGCATTTCTGGAGGGGGCTCAGCATCTGTAAAGATGAGGAGAAAAGTTGAGTCATTTGTTGGTTTTGTTTTGTATGCTGCCTCTCTTCCAAACTGGCAGTCAAAGAGGGCTCACCGCAGTGGGGAAGAAACAGACACACAAAGCGTAAGCATAAAAACACAGTAGAGCACCTTGCGATGTCAAAACATTAGATTTAAAACAGGCACAAATAAAAAACTTGTGCACTTACATTAAAATGCAATGAAACAAATGATGGCCAAAATCCAGCTGGGTTTTTACACTGACATAACACCATCAGCATAAATCTCGGCAGCAACTTGTCACAAGTTAAGAAGTCAGCATTCGCCGCTGTGCGCTGAGTCACACAGCTTGGCATGTGAAAGCGAGTGCCTACATTGGCTTCTTCATTGGTAGCAACTCACGACCAAGATTTACTTTACTTGGTGTTTTTTTTGTTTTGATTTTTTTGTTATGCCGTAACTACCAGAATTCCAGCTGGGTGAATTCCTTGTGAATTCTCATAGTGAAAATATCCAAAAATACCATGCCTAGTAAATCATAGAATAATGGAGTGGGATGAGGCCTATAAGGCCAAGTCCGAACGCCTCCTCGATGCAGGAATTCAAGTGAAAATATATCCGACAGATGGCTTTCTAACTTGCCCTTGAATGTCCCAGTGCTGGAGAGCTCGTCATGTTCCAACGTACAGTAATTGGTTCTATTGTCATGCTGCTCTAGCAGTTTGGAAGTTTTTCCTGCTATTTAACTGAAATCTGGTTTCCTGTAACTTGAGCCCATTATTATGGGTTCTACACTCTAGGATATTTGAGAGCAGGTCTTGCCTCTCCTATTGGGACAATCTTTCAAGTACAGTATTTGAAGAGTGCCGTCCTATCTTCCCCCAGTCCTGTTTTTCAAGAATAAACATCCCAGTTCTTTCCGTCTTTCCTCATAGGCACTCCCTCCCGCCCAGTCCCCTGATCATCCTGGTTGCCCTCCTCTGAACTTGCTCGTTTTCTTGGACTCCTTCTTCAAGTGTCCAGAACTGGACACTGTACTCAAGATGAGACCTAAATAGTGCCGAATAGAGGGGAACGAGAACCTCAATGGACTTGAAGACTAGAATTTGTCGTTGTGCTTTCTGTTGCAGTGAATCTTGTGTTGCTAGAAACAGGGCTCAGACAATGAGAAGAACTGTAACTGACTCTGCCTGTATGTGTCTCAGTACGGCTATCCGAACTGCTTATTCAGATTTATATCCTACTAAATTAAACAAGTCTTATACCTCAGGAAACAGGAAACCGACATATTTATATTCATCTGGAAGGATCCAGAGCCTGGCAGAATTACTTCCTTGGACAAGAACTCCTAGAATCTCCCAGACAATATGGTCCGTGATGATGGATTCTAGATGATAACACTTTATTACTTGAAATGTACTCAGGATTCTGCCATGAATCTCATTCCCAATACAGTGCTGGAGTGAAACATAATTCTGCTTTCCTTAGGAAACAGGTGGTATACTGGTTTGGCACTTCCTCTCTCTCTCTCTCACTCACTCTCTCTCTCTCTCCCTCCACTGGATTGGCACTTCCTTTCTCTCTCTCTCACTCTCTCTCTCTCTCTCTCTCTCTCTCACTCCTCCTCGGTATGAGAAGTCAAATATGACAAGAGTTAAGCAAAGACATTTTCTACTGATAAAGAAATATTTGGCCTGCATCCTTGAAACAAATGGCTGCTTCCTTTTTTCTACGTCTTTTGCAGCCTGCTCATTTTCCCTTGCATTACTTACTTACAGTACTTATTTATTTATTGCACTTATACCACGCCCATCTAATCAATCGACTACTCTGGGCGGAACTAACTTACTTATTTATTTATTGCATTTATACCCCGCCCATCTAATCAATCGACTGAGCGGCTTCCAACATATATAATAACAATTTAAAATACAACAAGATTTTAAACATCAATAAACAAGTTGTTCAAAATGGAAAAATAAGGAAAAAATAGATAGAAAAAATCAAGTGTTAACTGGAGGGAAGGCCTGCCTAAACATCCAAGTTTTTAGTTGGTTTTTAAAGATGCCCAGCGAAGGAGTCACACAAATCTCCGTAGGAAGGTTATTCCAGAGGCGAGGAGCTACCGCCAAGAATGCCCGGTTTCTTTTTTTTCTTCCGGGCTTCCCTCAGCGTCAGGCTCCTCAACCTCACCTCCTGAGGTTTTTTACACACACACACACACACAACACAGAGAGAGAGAGAGAGAGAGAGAGAGAGAGAGAGAGACACAAGCAACACCATCTGTCCCTCCTGGGCTATTCCTGTGGTAAACTCACTAACCTGTTGGAGTCTTTTCCCCTTCATCAGTAACAATGGATGGTAAACGTAATAGTCATTATGATTGTTGTAGATCACAGGGTGAATACGAGCCAACAGTGCAATGTGGCAGCAAAAAAGGCCAATGCTATTTTAGGCTACATTAGCAGAAGTATAATCTCCCAATCCCATGTGTTAGTCCTCCTATTTTTGGCACTTGTCAGGCCTCGTCTTGAAGTAATGTGTCCAGTTCTGGGCCATGCACTGTAAGAAGGACGCCAACAAACTGGAACAAGTTCAGAGGAGGGAAACAAGGATGATCAGCGGGGCCTGGAAAACAAACCCTATGAAGAAATACTGATCAAACTGGGCATGTTTAGAGAAACTGAGGGGGAAATAATCAGCGGGGCCTGGAAAACAAACCCTATGAAGAAATACTGATTGAACTGGGCATGTTTAGAGAAACTGAGGGGGAAATACGACAACACTCTTCAAACACTTTGAAGACTGTCATACAGAGGAGGAGCAAGATCTGTTCTCAATCATCCCAGAGTGCAGGACGTGTAATAATGGGCTCAAGTTACAGGAAGCCTGATGTGGGCCTAAAATGAGGAAAAAATTCCTAACTGTTACAGCAGCATGACAATGGAACCAGGTACCTGGGGAGGTGGTGAGCACTCCAACGCTGGAGGCATTCAAGAGAAAATTGGACAACCATCTGCCAGATCTGCTTTGATCTGGATTCCTGCACTGAGCTGGGGATTGAAATCAATGGCCTCATAGGCCCCTTCCAACTCCAATATTCAATGATTCTAGGAGAATATTGCCAGAAACCTTATGTGCATAGCAAAACATCATCAGTTATTTATCTAGGTATTTGCCTGCTTGACGTGGTTCACCTTTTTCCATTTTGTCCTCCAAACAACCCTGTAAAGAAGATTTAGCTGGGAAGTACAAACTGAGCAAAGGATACCAAATAGTTTTTGTGACTTAGACGGGATCTGAACTTGCATCTCTCTGTTCCGAGTATAACACTCTTACCCATCATGCTGTCCTGACTTCCTGATCAGCAGTAACTACATGAATGATTAATTGATTAAAATGTAGTGGTGGAAAAATAATCGGTATTTATTTAGGTACATGTCTGCTTGACATGGTTCTCCTTTTTCCATTTTGTCCTCCAAACAACCCTGTAAAGAAGATTTCGCTGGGAAGTGAAAGGCAGCCTTTGAAGACGGTCCGGCGACTGCAACTGGTCCAGAATCGAGCTGCGCGGCTGGTGAGTGGTGGAGCCGCTAGAGATCACATCAAGCCAATTCTGTTCAATTTACATTGGTTACCAGTTGCTGCCCGAGCCCAATTCAAAGTGCTTGTTTTGACATATAAAGCCCTAAACGGCTTGGGCCCTGGATACTTGAAGGACCGCCTCCTTCCATATGAGCCTACCCGGCAGTTAAGATCTAGCCAGGGGGCCCTTTTGAAAGAGCCATCCCTCAAAGAGGTAAGAGGGATGGCTTGTAGACAAAGGGCCTTTTCGGCAGCTGCCCCCAGACTATGGAACGCCCTCCCAACTGAAATTCGTCTGGCACCGACACTGATGACACTTCGGCGCCAGGTTAAAACCTTCCTGTTCCAGAAGGCTTTTAATTGAAATAACAACTGTGGGTCCTGATGATGGCAATTTTAATTGTATTTTAATTGTATTATAATTGTATTTTAATCATCTTATTGTATTGAATTTTAATTATTGTAAGCCGCCCAGAGACCTCTTGACGTGGTTCACCTTTTTCCATTTTGTCCTCCAAACAACCCTGTAAAGAAGATTTAGCTGGGAAGTACAAACTGAGCAAAGGATACCAAATAGTTTTTGTGACTTAGACGGGATCTGAACTTGCATCTCTCTGTTCCGAGTATAACACTCTTACCCATCATGCTGTCCTGACTTCCTGATCAGCAGTAACTACATGAATGATTAATTGATTAAAATGTAGTGGTGGAAAAATAATGCAATAATTAATGTACCGTACTTAATTTGTGTAATATGAAAAACCCTGATTAATTCACATTCCATGCAAAGCTGTATACAACGAAAATTGGATTGTCTAGCCTGCATAATATAATTAGGCTGCCTGAATTTAGAGAACCAGAATACAGAAACCCCACCCTGCATCTCCAACAACACTGGATTTGTCCCTTGGGACCCCAGCAAAGCAACGTGCGCTGCTTATATTACTGCCCCATAGATCTGAAAGCACTCTCTGGGCAGTTTACAATTTAGTTATGCAGGCTACACATTGCCTCTTCCCACCCGCAGACCTCGGTACTCAGAAGGATGGAAAGCTGAGCCAACCTTGGCCCGCAGAGCTCGGTACTCAGAAGGATGGAAAGCTGAGTCAACCTTGAGCTGGCTACCTTGAGCCGATTCGGATCGAACTCAGGTTGTGAGCAGAGTTTTCACTACCGTATTGCAATTTAAGCACTGCGCCATGATGCTGGATCGAACTCAGGTTGTGAGCAGACTACCATATTGCAATTTAAGCACTGCGCCATGATGCTGCTGACGGCTACTTTAACACGGGTGAAGAAGGAAAGAGAAGGGAGAGGAAATTAGTGTTGACTATTTCGTAAAATAATCTAAAATTGAAGGAGTTAATTGGCCGCGCGTGTTGTTGCTTAGTCAGGCAAATCGGCACCAGCATAAGGGAGC